TAATATATATATATATATATAAAGCATATGCAGGATACGTATTATATATGCATAGATTTTATATATATTGTGTATGGATATTACATATGTAACGTAGATTTACAGCGAATGTACAAGATATATGCGTACGTTATACATAATATTTATATATGTATCTACATATTATACACTCATATTTTAAAAAAAAAAATATATATATATATATATGCTAGATAGTGTAAATGTACAGCTCTATTTTGAGTCAACTGGGGTTTGTCTCCACTAACCCTCAGCGAATTTCCGAATGGCAAATTAAAATAAAGATTGTTTTAAAAATGAAAGAAAATAAAGTACAAAGGGGTACTTATTTACTTATTTGTATAAGGCTGCCCTAAGTTAGCTCGGCCGTGGTTGGCTGTGCTGCAGCGTGGATGTGTGTTTGCTTCGTTATATGTTCTGCATATTGTTTGGGGTGTACATTCACAGGCTGCGCAGCTGCAAGAGATAAACCAGATACTGTGGCAAGCGGAAGTTGACATTGAAAACATCGAAGATATGTTGATTCGGCTGCAGCAGCCGAACGCCTTCGGGTCTGTTGCCGTCTCTGACGCTCTCGCTAACCTCAACCAACTCCTCCACGGCCAAGTCCGCTCCTGGGGAGACCAAGTGCGTACACTCAAACGCATGCACGCAGAAATGCATGTAGAAAGAAAAGCATGCAAAAAGAAATGCATGCAAAAAGAAATGCATGCGTCTTTCCGCTTCTGCGGAGCTATGCAAGAAGCCCCAGGTTCATGCCTCTGCTCCTAATACTACTAACAGCCTAGCTGCAGCTCCAACACCTCCTGCAGCTAGCAGGAGTAGTAGTTTGATAGCTGCAATAACGGCTAGCTAGCTGCAGTAACGGCTATCTAGCTGCACTAACTTCTAGCTAGATGTGGAAACAGCTAGCTAGCAACGGTGGAAGCTAGCTGGTTGGGGCGGCAGGCAGCTAGCTGAAGTAGCAGCCAGCTATGGTGGCAGCTAGCTGGAGCGAGTTCGCGAGGAGAGCTGCGGTAGCAGGCATCCTATTGCCCCCTGGTTGCTTTGGGTAGCTGAAGAGTCCGTGTGGCTGCTTCTCTGACTTCTGTCAGCAGCAGCAGCAGCGGCAACTGCAGCAGTAGTAGCAGCTGCTACTGCATGCTACTGCATGCTGCTGCTGCTGTGGGCGGTGCAGCGGAGTTCGCTGGACTAGGCGGCTCCGCCTGCGTGAGTAGGGGAGCTGCAGCTTCTGTATTTTCGTTTTGGTAGTTTGTGTTTTGTATTGAGCTTGTTTTGTCTTATTTGTCCAGTTAGTTGTGCTTGGTGTGTTCGTTCGTTGTTTTTTCCTGCAGCTGGCTTCTCTGCTTGAAGGCGTCCTCAGCAGCGGCCCCACCTCCCAAATGAACAGAGCAGCCTCTGTCTCCTCCGACTGCAGCCTCGACACAGATTTCCCCTGACCTCCTGCTGATGCTGCTGTTGCTGCCGCTTCTGCTGGCGAGTTGTCTGTACACCCCAGCCTCCCTCCTGCCCAAAGCGCCTCCTGCGTAGCTGACCACGATGCGGAATTGGATGTTAGTTACTGCAGATGTTTGACGCAGAGAAATACAAACAAAGCAAAACAAACTAAAACTAGGGCAGGCAAAAAAAGCAACGGTGGAAACAGACAAAACAAGCAAAAACCGCATGCGTGCGTAAATAAAAAGAAACAAATACCAATCGCCAGCAATCAACTCGCAACAGTGCCCTCCTCTCCCTGTTTTTTTTTCATTGTCTTCTGCTCCTTTTCTTTTCTCTCAGCTTATCTGTAGGGGGAACCAGTTTTAGAAAAAAAACCTATACGCCAACGAGCTGCTGCTGCTTCAGCCTGCAGCAGCAATCAGCTGCAGCAGCAAACCACTGCAGCAGGAAACCACTGCAGTAGCAACGCGCTGTGGCCGCAACCCGCAGCATCAGCAACGGGCTGCAGCAACAAATGGCTGCAGCAGCTAGATGTATAAGCTAGCTACATTTTGTTTGCCTTCGGCTTGGGGTTTCTTTCCTCGCACCCTTTACTTCGCTGACAGCTGAGCCCACGAGGCCACCTGAAGCGACGGCTTTGAAAGCCAAGGTTTCGTTTTAAGGGTTTGCGCTATATGAGCCTCCAGTGTAAGTACACCCCACGCAGTGCATAAACATGCACAAGCCTGCTTGCATTCCTGCTAAGGACCTTCTGCTGCCCCTGAGGTTTGCTTGGGCGCCAGCCGCTAGTATTGCTGTTGCTGTTGTTGCTGCTGCTGCCGTTACTGCCTTTGACGTGGCTGTCAGGGCCCAAGAAGGGGAGGTTTAGGCGAACATGCCCTCAGATATGTTGCGCGAAGCGCTGGATATATATAATATATATATATATATATATATATATATAGTTGTATAGATGTGTCAACTTGTTGCATGCATGCACAGAGAATTGTATCTTTGGGCGCACATACAAATAAGCATGCACAAACGGAGCAGATGAGTGCATGCTGCATATACAAGCGTTTATAAATCCGGGTTGTGTAATTTTATGAAGAAGGGCAGCAGAGGGACGCAGGTGTACGTACAACCCAGACAACAGTGACACCAAGGCTCACAGTAGACAACAAATTCTGGAGCCGCAACTGAAGCAAATAAACGGAAAGGATTTTAAGCAGACAGTACAGCCAAATACAAAAAGACAAGAAACAATGTTTTAGGGAGTACTGCTTCGTTCGTTCTCAATAATTTGCTGCGAGGGAAACAAAAAATAAGATTGTTCAAGTTTTGCGTTTCTCCTTTTGTTTGAATTAATCAGTTACAGATCCTTAATAAAGCGGCATCGGCGTCCCTGCTCGCCAGCAACAGTGCAGAGCCGAACAAAGCCTGCGCCGTGCCTTCAAAAAATAGCAGCAGAAGCAGCCGCAGGTAAAACAAATTCTTTATTTCTCAGGGTGCACAGCAACACGAGGGCGTGGGGCTGATGAGGGGAGAGCAGAGACACGTTCTGTCTCCAGCTGCAGCACTGCCTGCTGCCGCTCTACCTCTGCTGACGTGCCCTGCATGCATGCAAGCCTGACAGCCTACCTCCCCCTGTTGCTGCTCTCCTTTAAGAGGGCGTATTACCGGTGAATGCAGCAACACAGCAGCCACTTGTTGCAAATGCAGCGTGGCACAGACAACGTACAACAACAGCGTATGAATGAGAATACAGGGTTAGAAATGCCACTATAAATAAATTAAACATTCTCTGAAATGATTTTTCTCCGGCTGAGTTTCTGTTGTGTTGAAGCCGTAGGGAATATATATGGCAGCAAGGAGTATGCCCGTGCTGTATTCAAAATTCGTTATTCCTGTAAACGAGCGCACTAATAAAGCCCGCGCCTTCAATTGATTATAAATAAGAAAGAAGCGTTTCGTTTTTGTTTTAAATAATTAAAATATTTCTTATTGTTTTAAGCAATTAGGTTGATTTTTTTTCGTACTATTTGCTCGAAGGAGGTAGAGCGCTACTATGGGGCTTCCTTTGAATTTGCAGGGGACTGCATGCAGGTGATCAGGCATGTCCTTTTGTTGCATTTGTTCGTCAGCTTTGTCTGTTTATTGTTTTTATCTATATAAACCGTGAAACATTATTTTATTTTGCCGCCTTTTCTTCGCTTTCTTTGCGATTTGCTGCGCCGCCGCCTGGGTCGGCCGTGTGATTGGGGCTGCGCCGCAGTGTTGCCTGTTGCATTTTCTGTTTTCTTCGTCTATTCTCAGGTGTTTTTATTTATTGAAGAATCTGTTTTCTTATTTTAGGGGAAGGCTGGAGGGTCTGTAGGCGCAGCAGCAGCAACAACAACTCCTTTGATGCCTCTACGCAGCGCTGCGGCTTCTGCCGCCCGTTGCCGTTCTGCTGCGGCTGTTGCAGCGGTGCTGCTGCTGTTGCTGCCTCATTTCTATCGAGGAGAGTTCTCTTGATTGTTGCTTGATCTCCTCTTTCGCTCGTTTCTTCCGCTTTTCCTCTCCCCTGTCTGCAGATCTGCTGAAGGCAGGCCTTTTCTCTAGTGTATAGAGCGAAGATGTATAACAACATCGGGCTTCCTACCCCTCGTGGGAGTGGCACGAACGGCTACGTACAGCGTAGCTTGGCTTACTTGCGTCCTCGGCGCACTGACATGCCGGGTTTGCATCAACTGGGGCAGAAGCCGATACAGCAGCCGAAAGTACGTAAGGCAGATCCTTCTTTGCTGCTTCACGAGCAGCTGCGTCGGGTGGAGCTGCGGCTCATGCAGGAGCGCAGCAAGCTTGAGGAGCAGGGCTTGTCTAAAGCGCGCATTGAGAGAACAATTGAGGTCCTCCGCGTGCAGCTAACGAGAGAAGCGCACATAGAAAAACAGATATTGGGCGATCGAACTGGCACGCAAGAAGGTATTTTCGGCCGCAGCCTGCTGCAGATCTCAAGCGGCACTGACACGCATGAAGGAGCAGCATGGAAGCAGCGGCAGCTGGATCAGGTTGCTGCTGCTCTCGGCCTCAGCAGCAACCATAAAGTTGGGGAGGCATTCAACTGGGAGCTGCAAAAACAACAAAAAGAACAACGACAAAAAGAATGGGAGGAGAGAAAAAGACAAATGATCGAAGAAAGAAAGGCAGCTCTGCAACAAATGAGGGAAAGAAGGAAAAGACAAAAACTCGCAGCAAAGAAAAACAAAAAACATAAAAGAAGCAAAAGCTCCAGCAGCAGCAGCAGCAGCAGCAGCAGCAGTAGTAGTAGTAGTAGTAGTAGCGACAGCAGCAGCAGCAGCAGCAGTAGCGACAGCAGCAGCAGCAGCAGCAGCGATGATAGCGACGATGAAAAGCGGAGGAGACGGTCAGGCCGAGTGAAGCTGCAGGTTAAAGGTGAGGAACGGGAGACAAAGGCAGCAGCAGCAGCAGCAGCAACAGCTGCAGCAGCAGCAGCGGCAGCAGCGCAGCGGGAAACACCTTCTTTCCGTGCCGTTGCAGCAGAAGCCACAAGAGTTTTAAAGGGATATGAGACGAAGAGAGAGAGAGCAGATGACGTGCCTGATGCGAAGCGGAGAAAGGAGACAGAGGAGACAGAAGCTGACAGCCCCCTCTTCTCTGAGGAGGAGACACAAGAGACAGCCCGAAGAAATGGAAGCAGCAAGAAATACAGACGCAGCATCAGCCGCAGCAGCAGCAGCGGGAGAAGCAGCAGGGGCAGCAGCAGGAGAGGAGGTCGGGATGCGCTGAAGGACAGAGAGAGAGGAGGAGATGAAGAGAAAGCTGCCTCCTACAGCAGATACAGAGAAGAAGAGAGAAACAGAGACAGAAACGAAGACAGAGAAAGAGAAATAGAAGACAGAAGGGACGACGGAGAGGACAGAGACAGAAGAGGAGACAGAGACGGAGACAGAAGAGCAGATAGAGAGAGAGACAGAAGAGCAGGCAGAGACAGAGAAGAAGACAGAGACAGAAGAGGAGACAGAGACAGATTAGAAGCGAGAGGCCACGATAGACGTGGAGACAGAGACAGAGAACGAGATGACCGAGAGAGAAGGGGAGAAAGAGGAGGAGACAGAAGAGAGGACAGAGACAGAAGAGAAGACAGAGACAGAAGAGAAGACAGAGACAGAAGAGAAGACAGAGACAGAGACAGAGACAGAGACAGAGGAGAAAGAGACAGGGGAGACGTCAGCGGAAGAGAAACGCATAGAGATGGTCGAGAGGGCCGACATAGAGAAGTGCAGCAACCAGACAACGACAGAAGAGAGGAAAGAGAGAGAGAAAACAGAGGCGGAGAGCGAGAAGACAGTGACAGAGACAGAGACAGAGACAGAAGAGGAGATAGAGACAGGGGAGCAGACAGAGACAGAGGAGACGATGGAGGCAGGAGAGGAGACAGAGACGCAGAGAGAGGAGACAGAGAGCGAGACAGAGGAGTAGACAGAGGGGGAGAGAGGGACAGAGGGGATGACAGAGACAGGAGAGGAGAAAGGGACAGGGGGGGCAGAGACAGAAGAGACGACAGAGACAGAAGAGAAGATAGAGATGGAGACAGAGGAGGAGACAAAGGGGGCGCTGGAGACAGAGACAGAGAGAGAGGAGACAGAGAAAGGGGAGAAAGAGACAGAGAAAGAGGAGACAGAGAAAGAGGAGTCAGAGAAAGGGAGCGAGACTAACGAAGCAAGCAGAAGCAGAGGCGGAATGACAGGAGAGTTGTTGAGGACTAAGGAGGAGCCAGGACGAGACAGAGGAGGAGATAAAGGAGGAGACGCTCCAGAGACAACGACGAGCAAAGAGACAGAAAAGAGCGGAAACAAAGCGTCTGAATGTCGTGAGGTGGAGAGAGCCTCAAGCGGAGCGGAAGAAGAAGGGTTCTTCTTCTGCTTTGACGCGTTGGGGTGTATGCACGCCTCACTTCCTAAGAAGAACACTTTTTTTTGCTTTGAAACGCAGGGGTGTACGTACACCTCACTCTCTAAGGAAGGCTCCTCTTTTCTTTTGAAGTGCTGGGGTATACGTACACCTCTCTGTTGAAGAAGGGCCTTCCTTTTGCTTTGGTGTGCCGAGGTGTACGTACACCTCATCATCATCCACAGGCCTGCGGTATGTGTTGCCGCCTGACGTCTTTTAGTGTTTTTGTCTGCACTTTCTGTGTTGCAACTCTTTTCGCTGCATTTACTTATTTCTTTTATCATCCATTTAGTTACTTGTCCAAATATTCGTTTCTTTTCGTCTACCTATTTATTTGTGTATTTGTCTGTCTCCGCTTCCCCTTGCTGCTTCTTTCTGCTGAAGGGGAGACGTATGGCTGCACGCGGTGGTATGCGCTGCTTAGCCTGCAGCAGACAGATAGACAAAGAGATAGGAATAGAGAGAGATAGATAAAGATGCAGAAGCAGAAATAGAGAAGGATGGAGAGAGGAACAGAGCGAGACGGACACAGAAACGAACAGAGACGGAAGAGTAGTAGTAGAGTCAGAGACAGAAAAGGAGAGACACGAACAACGAAAGAGACAGACTAGGCGAGAGAAGTAGAAGCGGAAGCAGATGCAGGGACAGAGAAAAAGACAGAAACGGAGAGAGATATAGACAGAAACAGAGAAGGAGATTGAAGTAGAGACAGAGGCAGAGAAATGTAGAGAGGCAGACACGAAAGTAGAGGCAGAGCCGGAGGCAGAAGGATGGACAGAGAAGGAGGCAGGACCAGAGACTGACAGGCTCACCAGCTGTATCTTCAGTATCTTCATCGCCTCGCAGCTCCCCAAGCCAAAGGCGCCCGAAGGACGCTCAGGTCCTATAGCTCAGTTGGTTAGAGCATTCGGCTAATAACCGAAAGGTCGCCGGTTCGACCCCGGTTGGGACCATCCCTTTTTGTTTATTATCCTGTTTTCTTTTTCCGTTATATGTTCATTCGTCAACTGCTACTACTTCTTCTCGGCTTGTTAAAAGGGGAGGCGGGCCGTACCACTGGGATCGCTGCTACAGTTGGTGCACCAGCGGCAGCAGCAGCTGCCGCTGCTGTTGTCGTTGTAGTTAGATGCCCTCAGTTTTCTTAGATTTGCCGCAGAGGTCAACAAAGAAGACAGAGGGGACTCTCGCACCAGTTCTAATTAGTCTGTCGCCTCACTCTGCAGTAGTAGGTGCACAAAGACTGGACAAGCCACGCCTCTGGGCTCCACGAGAGAGACAGAAAGGCTTTTCAGGTGTATTTCTTTCTCTATTGGACTTAACATTTGCTTCTGCTTAGTTTTATTTATTGTTTTGCACACCCCAAACGTCAAACGGGCCTGCGAGCAATGGGGGTTCGCCCAATGGCCCCGAACGACGAGGAGATCCCCTAAAAGGAGCAAAAGCAATGAAAAATGGACAGTTGATAATATTAAGGTGAACTACTGGGGATAAAATTTATATTTATCTGGATATGCAGTGGAGACTCCCTGTGGCGGGGCGCTGGGACCACCACCACACCACTGGTCTCAAGTGTCCAGGAGAAGCCGGGCGCCCTTCCATCAGCAGATACACGAGTCGTTCACCTTTTTATTTAATTCATTCTTTTGTTTGTTTATTCGTTTATTTAATTATTCATTCATGCATTTACAGCTTCAACGCCCGGATAATGTCTTCAGCTCCTATCGGACGTACTGCGGGGCTGGACGGAGCGGGCCAGTGACCCGGCGGGGCTCGCCTGTGAAACTGGGGGAGGTAAATCAAGCATGAAATAAATTTAAAGATTAAAATAAAAAATAAATAAAAGAAGAAAAAGATTGTATAATAATAATAGCGTCTGGCCGCTGCGCAGCAGCCGCGCTGTCGCCTCCCAACGGTGCCTGCGCCGTCACACAGTACAAAGACACACAAAGTTCAGCGTTGGGTTTTAACAATTGAATAATCAAATTGGCCGAGGGAATACCTCTGAGATGAATGCCGTCAGACCTGTAGGGAACGATGAACAATGCCGTACAACTCCGTCCTGCTACTACCGCTGCTGCAGCTGCTGCTGCAGCTGGTGCAGCTGCTACAGCAGCCGCTGAAGCAGCAACCATCAGTTGCAGCAGCTTTTCACCTCTCTCCTAGTCCCACGCGCTTTGTCCAAGCGTTTACAATAACAGTTACAGCAGCAGCAGGACCAGGAGGAGCAGCAGCAGCAACAGGCAGCACGGAAGAAGAAGAAGTTGTGCGTCGTGGTGCCGCTGCATACAGTCAGCTGCTTCGGGAATCTTTACAGGAGGGAGCAGCAAGTAGCTGCTGGCAGCAGGTCAGCGAGCAGCTTCTGCTGCTGCAGCAAGAGACTCTGGAGGACGCCTGCAGCAGCAAGGGCGAGCCCTTTAGGGAGCTCATTGCTCTGACGCGTATGCGGTGTATATACACCCGGAGTGAACGCCCATTTCCTGGTCCATCTGAAGGCTGTTACCTCTTCCCTTACGAAGTTCCGACAAGTTGGCTGGGTTCGCTTGTCCCCGCTGTGCTTTGTCTTTTGCTGCTGTTTGTCTTTGTCTTTGTCTTTGTTTGTTTCAGCTCGCCTCTGTCTTTTGTTGATGCTTGTCTCTGCCTTTTATTTGCTGCTAAATGTCTCTCTTACTTGGTGCTGGTTGTTTCTGTCTTATATTTGTTTACTGATTGTCCCTGTCTTTAATCAGTTCCTGCTCTTCGTGTGTTTGTTGTTTGTCCCGAGCTACCACTGTATTTGATTTGCTGCCGATTGTCTCTGTCTTTTTTACTTCTGATTATCTCTGCTTTGGAGCCCCTGTTGTTTATTAGCATAGTCCTGTTCCTGTCTGTCTCTTGTTCGTGCGCACCACCTGTCGTTAGCCCTGCGCTGTTTCTCTCTCTCTCTCTCTTTCTCTCTCTGTCTGCATGTCTCTCTCTCTCGCTTTCTATCATTATCTGTCCCTGTCTGTGCCTCTGTGAGTTGGTGTTTGTTTTTGCTTGTCTGTTGTTTATTTTGCGTTTTTTCTTCTTTTTCGTTTCCATTATTTCGGACGCTGGCACCAGCACGTTAAAGGGAAGACAGCAATGAATTTCTTGAATGAGATATTTGCTAGTTAATTGTCTTCTGCTTCTCTAAACAGAGCAGATAGGGAACAGACGCTGACAACTCCCAACGCTGCTATTGCTGCATCTTTTACTGCACTGCAATCATTGCCGGTGTTACAGCTGCCGCTGCTGCTGCTGCTGTTGCTGCAGGTGCCTCAGCTGCACATCCTTGCGTGCAGCTCAACGAATTGCTGCAGCAGCTGCAGCAGCTGCAACAGCTGCAGCAGCTGCAACAGATGTCAGAAGGCAACTGGGAAGGCATCTACGGAGAGCAGCAAGAACTGCAGCCGCAGGAGCAGCGGCAGCAGGAAGAGTCACCAGGCACGGCAGCTGAAGACGCAGATTCCGGAGCAACAGCAGCAGCAGCAACAAGAGCAACATCAGGAGCACCAGCGGAGAAGAAGGTGGAGTTGATATTGGGGGATTCGCGGTTTCCCTTGCTGCAGCTGCAGGGGCTGCAGCAGCAGAAGCAGCAGCTGTACAGACAGTGCATTGCTTTGACTCGGCGGCAAACTGCTGCCTGTCAGCAGCACAGCGCAATGGACTTTGGGACATTCGCTTTAGTTAGAGAACAAATCAACCACATCGGTAAGAAGCATCAAAAACATGCCCCTGCAGCTGCTGCTGCGTATAATAGTGCTGCTGCTCATGCGGCTGCTGCTGATAATGATGTTACTGCTGCTGCTGCTGATGCTGCTGATGATGACGCCGTTGCTACTGTTGATGCTGCTGCTACTCTTGCTGGCGTTGACGCTGCTGCTACTACTGATTCTGCTGCTGCAGCTGCACCAGGTTGCGCAGTTGCTGCACTTATTGGCGGTCTTGATGGAGCTGCTTCTGCCTTCTGGGCCTTTGCTTCTTTGTTGCCGCTACTGCTGGTCTGCTAGCGTTTCAGGGGCTGCTGCTGCTGCTGCTGCTGCTGTCTGCAGACAACATTTGTTTTTTCCTGCACAGTGCAGAGCGACAAAGGAGGGCTGAAGAGGCGGCCGTGCGTCTGTCTGCTGCTTCTGCTGCTGCTGCTGCTCGCATGCAGCAGCAGCTGCATCATCTGGAGCGCATGGGGAAGCTTCAGGAGCAGCTACAGCTGCAGCAGCTGCAAGGGGGAACGTACATGCAGCAGCTTCTGCAGCAACTGCAGCGGGGGCTAGAAGAATCGTTTGCTGTGCTGCAGCAGCTGAAGGCGTTTCATCGCTCAGTCGGGCAGTGGCTGGGGGGCGGCGAAGCTGCAGCTTTATATTTTGCTGCTGCTGCTTCTGCCTTTTTGTTCACGTCAAGCAGCAGAGTTGCTGCTGCGCGCCTGCAGCTTTTTGTCCTTCTTGCTGCGTCTGCTGCTGCAGAGTTCGCGCTGCACCGGGGGGGGCTATCGCCTTTCCTGAGCCTGCTAACTCAGCAGTACAAATTATCCACAGCTGCTGTTGCTGTTCCTGCTGTTCCTGCTGCTGCTGCTGCTTCTGGACGTACAGACGACAGCATCCTGGCTTGGATTGCGGAGGTCGCCTGGGGAGCCGCAGCAGCCGCAGCCGCAGCAGCTGCTGCTGCGGCTGCGGCTCATGGAGTGTCTGTTGTGCGCTGGAGTTGTCTGCTCGCTGCCTGTTGGGTGTGGCTGCGCTGCTTCTGGAGGTACACCAGCCCGGAGCAGCAGCTGCAGCAGCAGCTGCTGCTGCTGCAGCAGCAGGTGGACGGGGTACGACAAGAGCTGCACGAAGCCCAAGCGGCGGGGGAGCCGAAAATGCAGGAGGTGCAGCAACTGCTGCAGCAGCTGCTGCAGCGCGTCGCTGCGAAAGATGCAACAATTCAGCAACTGCAGCAACTCCAGTGGAAGGAAGAGCAGCTACGGCTGCAGCAGCAACATGAACCACAGCAGCAACAGCCGCAGCAGCAGCAGCAGCAGCAGAGCTGGGCCGGCCGCGTTGTGAGGTGGGCAATTCGCCTGGCTGCTAGCTTTGTCATCTCAGTCTGTGCTGCTGCTGCAGCAATAACTGCAGCAGCAGCAGCAGCAGCGTGGAGGTGCCTTCTTCTTCCGCTGAGGCTCTGCTGCCCCCTAAGAGCCGCCCGATCCCCCGCAGCCTCCTACTGCAGCCGCAGCAGCACCAGCAGCTGGAACAGCGGCAGCAGCTGCAACAGGAATAAGGGCTGTCGTCCTGCAGCTTTCCAGTCGGGGAAGTATCTGCTGAACTGCTACAGCAGCAGGGCTCTGCTGCAGCAGCAGCTGCAACGCCAGGGCCCTGGATTGCCCTTAGGGCTGCGACAGCAGTCGCTGAGATATAACGAAGACGAAGGGGAAGCAGCAGATCCCACTTACCAACCCTCAACAAGCGGCAGCAGCAGCAACAGCAGCAACAGAAGCAGGAACAGCAGCAGCACAAGCAGCGAATCTGAATACGAGTCTCCTGTGGTTGGTGCTTCCGTTGCTGCGGATGCTGCTGCCGAAGAGCCAGACACACCTTCCGCCGCTCTTTCTAGTGCTGCATCAGCTGCTGCTGCTGCTGCTGCGCAGGCAGCCGAGAGCAGCAGGGCTGTGACGAAGTGCCAGCAGCAGCAGCAGCAGGAAAAGGGAGAGCGCCCTCAGCAAAAACAGCCCCCGCAGCCTCCCCCTCAGCAGCAGCAACAGAACCAGCAACAGCAGCAGCTGCAGCAGCATCCGGCTGTACGCCGCAATCCTGTTAGGGCCTGTCGGGTTGTGAATTTCGCGAAGGTGGAGGACCCCCAACACCCCGATGTCTTCTTGAGACAAGTCGTCCCCGTGAGAATATATATATATATATATAATATATATATATATTGCATATAGATATGTACATATAAATAGGTATATGCTTATATATCCATATGCATGTATATATATACATATATTTATTCACATGCACATATATATATATATATATATATATATATATCTAGGTACATGTGTTTGTATGCATTTGCATATGTAAATGTATACAATATATATGTATATACTGAAACGTACATGCGCATAAAATGAGTACATAAATTAATGCATATATATATATATGTCAGTAGATGTAGATGAATATGGATGCATACGCATGTATAAAAAAGTATATATGCATGCATTAGTAAATATTTACTATATATGCATATTGGCATCTGTTGTATAATTGTTGAGTAACTGTGCATATATCCCGTTGACTTCAAAAACTTCCTAAAAGGCCCAGGCGTATGTGCACCTCGTGCAAATGCTCTGTTGGCTTGGATGGCACCGCTTTATTTCTGTATTTACTTCTCTCCCCTCAGCGAGTTCCCGTCTCTTCTCCTGTCCTGCTGCTGTTGCTGCTTCTGCTCCTGTTGCTGCTGCTGCCTTCGCTTCTGTGCGAATTGCAGCCCGAGAGGCTAAAGGCGCTGCATAGCTGTCGCACGCGTCTGAGTCCCTCTTCAGCGGGGACTCGCAGCAGCAGTCGCGGCAACAACAGCAGCAACAGCAGCAGCAACAGCAGCAGCGGCAGCACGTCCCCGACGAACCACAGCAGCAGCAAGCCGTCGGCGACGCAAGCAGCTGCCAGACCAACAAGAAGAAGCCCCGCCCCTCCTTCTCAACTCCTAAAGCGCACGTCACCCTCAAACCCACCCACACAAGAACAGAAGCAGCAGCAGCAACTGTTGCAGGAGCAGCAGCAGCAAGTGTCCACGCCGCCACAGGCGCGCAGAGCTCGAGGGAAGTGAAGCCACACCGCTGATGATTTTCTCTGCCTTCCGTCCTTCGTCTCTGTTGCTGTCTATCTGTCTCTGTTTCTGTCTGCGTGCGTCTCTGTGTATGCTTCCGTGTCTCGCTGTCTCAATTTTGTCTCCCTGTCTCTCTTTCTCTGCCTCTCTCCCTCTGTGTGTTTCTTCGTCAGTCTCTATCTATTTATCGATCTATCCATCTATCAATCTATATATTTCTCTCTGGCTCGCTCTCTTGCTCTCGCTCGCTCTCTCTCTCTCTGTCTTCGTTTTTGTCGTTGTTTGTGTTTCTGCGTCGCGCTTTGGGTTGTTCGCCGTCACCCCGAATCCTCGCAGCTCCGCGAGTTTGGCCCCCACCAAGCGGCAGCAGCAGCAGAAGCAGCACGTAGAACAGCAACAGCAGCAGCAGCAGGTGAAAAAGGAACAGCAGCAGCAGCAACATGGCAACAGCAACTCGCGCGAGAGGAACCGGGAGCTGCTGCACCACAGCGGCGCGTGAGCAGCAGCGAAAACGCCAGCAGCAGCAAGCGTAAGCAGCAGCAGAAGCAGCGCGAGCACAACAGCAACAGCGTGAGCAACAGCAGCCGCGTGAGAGAAACAAGTGAGTTTAAAGAAAGGAGCGGATCCCCAGTCGGTTCACTGCGAACTGCAGCCAACGGGGAAATCTGCTGCTGAAGGCATCAGAGTTGGACTGCATGCAGAAAGGCAGCAGCTCTTCGTACACCTCCTGCTGCAGCTGCTGCTGCAGCTGCTCGTCGTCAGTCTGCAGCAGACACAGCAGCTCCAAGTCGCGTAGACTCGAACGCACACTCAAATTCGAACTCCCTAATAAACTCATCGCCCTCCAACCCTTCTTCCTGCTGCTGCTGGTGCTGTTGCTGCTGCTGCTGCTGGCAGGGTGGCTCGTGAGGCTGCTCTGCAGCAATGCATGAGTGCTGTGCAAAACAGCGGGAGATGCGCATGCTGAGCCAACATTACTGCTTCTGTTGCTGCTGCTGTTGCTGCTGCTGCTGCTTCCAAACAGCCAAATACCCTTGGCATGATACGTCCAGCCGGGCCGCGCGAACTCGAGAAGCAACAAACTCTCTTCTGGCTGATGCAGCTCTTGCTGTTCTTGCTGCTGCACGCATCGAACGGCACCTCTACCTTCTGCTGCGTCTGCAGCAGCAGTAGCGTCCACACAGGCTGCTGGAGTTGCTTTCTGCCCTGCTGCTGCTGCAGCTGGTGCTGCAGTAGGGGCCTGAAGGGCCACAGCAGCTGTATGCGCAGCAACGCTGTAAGCAGCAGGAATATAAAAAGAAAGACCGCGGGAATTGAAAAAGCTATTCGCCTCAGGAGAGGCAGTTATCACCAGCAGACGAGAATCCCCCCTGCTGTTGCTGCTGTTGTTCTTGTTGTTGCTTCTGCTTCTGCGATGTGCTAGAGCAGCAGACACTGAGGCGTTGCGCATTGTCTGCAGCAGCTGCTGCAGCCGCCGCAGGAATGTAGCGGGAAAATTGAGGTATGGAGATGCAACGACCACCTGCAGACCTCCAGGGGCTGCTACGATGCCCCCTCCTGCTTCTGATGCTGTTCCTGCTGCTGCACCCTCACCCGCAGCAGCCGCAGCAGCAATCGAGTTAACAGCAACTGCACACAGCCGTTCCAGCAGCAGCTCTTGGCCCCTGATTGGGGGGCGGGCAAAACCCGCCTGCACCGAGAGAGTAACCAGACACAGCTCACCGTTGCTGCTGCTGCTGCTGCTGCTGCTGCTGCTGCAGCTGAGGTCATTGCTGCTGCTGGTTTGGATGTCGTTGTTGCTGCATATGGTGCTGCTGTTATTGCTGTTGCCGTTGGCGCTGTTGCAGCTCCTTCTGTTGCTTCCGCTGTGGCTCTTGTCACTTCCCCTGTTGTTGTTGTTGTTGTTGTTGTTGTTGTTGTTGTTGTTGTTGTTGTTGTTGTTGTTGTTTGTGTTGTTGTTAGTGTTGTTGCTGCTGCTGCTGTTGCTGCTGCTGCTGCATTTGATGGCTGCAGCAAGTGCCTCTGAGAGGCTGGCACAGAATTGCTGCGGATTGAGTTGTGGCGGGGCCGAAGGGTTCGTCGCCGGCCAACAGCAAAAGGCCCCCCCAAACTTTATTGTGAACTCCTGCTGCTGCAGTTTGTGCTGCTGCTGCTGCTGCTGCCGCTGTTGCTGGTGGCGTTGCTGCTGATGGCACGGGAGCAGCCGGAAGGAATGGGCCTCTGCAGCAGCAAGGATGCGATCTGCTGCGTCTGCAAGCTGTCTAGAGCGCAGCAGCAGACATCTGTCTGTTCTGTTGCTGAAGTAGTTGCTGCTGCAGTTCGCCCCCGTCAGCAGCAGCAGGTCGTCGCTGACAATACACTTCATGTGCTGCGTACCGAAGGCCTCCTGGGCCCGGTGGCCTAGCCCACGCAGCAGCAGACTCCGCAACAAACCCCACACCCAACCGCCCCTGCTGCTGCTGCTGCTGCTTATGTTGCTGCAGGTTAGAGGGTTGCAGAAGAGAGACACACGGCAGCTGTTGCTGTTGCTGCTGCTGCTGCTGCTGCTGCTACTCAGGGGTTGTTGCTGCTGCCCATCAGCTGACACCAGCGGCTGCAGCAGCCTTGCAGGACTCTCTCCTTCAGCTCCTTCTGGCCTCGTCGTGCGCAGCAAATCCAGCAGCACACGCACCTCCAGCTGCTGTTGCTGCTGCTGCTGCACACGTTGCTGCAGCAGGTGCAGCATATGCCTTTCTTTAGGTCCCGTGCCCACGTACAGCGCCGCCAGCAACAGCCGCCGCTGAGCCGAAGAAATCAAAGACAACACGGCGGAGTAAAATGCCTGCGGTCCCCGCACCACACTAATGCAGCGAGGAGTCACGGGAAAACATACCTCTGCCGCGGCTGCTGCTGCTGATTCCCCTGCTGCTGCTGTTGCTCCTGATTCCGCTGCTGCTGCTGCTGATGGCAGAGTGCTCAGAGTTTCTGGGGGTCCTGCAGAGGACAAAACGCGGCTGCTGTAGAAATGGCGAGCGACTGGGCGGAAGCAGCAGCCACCGCTGCAAACAGCAGCAACAGCAGCAGGGTACCAGACATAGCAGGGGCTGCTACTAGAAGAACGCACTGCTGCTGCTCCTGCTACTTCTGCTGCATTAGCTGCTGCCGCAATACCCCTCCAGCTGCGAAAAGGCAGAGCTGCAACCACTGCCCCAGCTCTAAGGAACCCATTTGCCGCTAAGGGCATGAGACTGCCGCTGCTCCTTGCTGCTGCTGCTGCTGCTGCTGCTGCTGCTCTTGCTGCCGGTCTTCGCTGCGGCTGGTGCTGCCGGTGGCCTTCGTTGCTGCCGCTGGCCTTCGATGCTGCTGCTGCTGCCCTTATTTGCGCCTGCCCTTTCTGGGGTATCGAGGGTCAGCCCTCAGCAGGCTTCTGGGGAGGCTGTCTGGGCTTCTGTGTAGACGTGGACCCCACAGGAGCAGCAGCAGCAGCTCTGTCGCTGCTGCTGCTGCTGCTGCTGCTGCAGCCGCCCAGCAGGGCTTGTAGCGGAGGCCCTGCCGTGCCCGTAAAGAGCTAAAGACTATGTTGAAATAAGTTACAGCGACAATTAAAATTAAAATTGGAGTTTCCTTCATAAAGAAAAACCCTATTCCCGATATATGTCTCGCTGCCGCAGACCACTCTCCCACCGTGGGGCCCCCGGGGCCCCCCAGCCCTGCAGGCGAATCGAAGGACAGCCAAAGGCTTCTTTGCTGCTGCAGCAGCAGCAGCAGCATTTCAGCAGCAGTAGCGATGGAAAGAGCCAGTGCAGCTAAAGGTACTCAGCAGCAGCAGCAGCAGCTGCAACAGCAGCAGCGCCAGCGGCAGCAGGTCGTGTGAAGGGAGACATAAACGGCGAGGCCCGCTGCAGCAGAAGGCTCTACGCGCTGCTTCTCGTGCCGCTGCTCTTTCTTTCTGCTGCTGCTGCAAGGACTAACCAATAACTAAGGGCTGGTTTTGCATGTACAGCACGCAGCCCAGAAGCTGGCAACCGCAGCAACAGCAGCAAAGACGGTAACAGCAACAGTAATAACAGCAGCAGCAGCACAAACAGCAATACCAACGGCACAGCAAAATGCAGAGATCGCAGCTAAGGCTGCTTCATTGATCCCGTTACGGCTGACTGCAGCAGCAGCCACTCAACAGAGGCAGAGGCATTCGGCGGCAGCAGCAGCAGCAGCTGCTGCTGCTGCTGCCGTATCTGAGCGGAAGCAACACTGGTGGGTGTGTTTCGCATTTGTTCGAAATGTCACAGCCTCAGGATTCTGCGCAGCAGCAGCTGCAGCAGCAAGCGCAGCAGCAGTTGCAGGAGGAGCACCAGCAACAGGAGGTTGGCTGCTGGCGGTTTGAGCCCGTGACAGTTTTGGGGAGGGGGGGGGTTATTGTGCTGACTGCAAAACGTCTCCTTTTTGCTGCTCGCAAGAGCAGCAACAGCAGCAACAGCAACAGCAACGGCAGCAACGGCAGCAGCAGCAGCAGCAGCAGCAGCGGCGAAGTCGACGACACCAGCAGCTGCTGGGAAGTGCTGCTGCAGTTCCCTCTCGTTTCCTGGACTTCAACTGAACGCTCAAAGAAAGCAGCAAAGGTGCGGTTGCTGCTTTCACTTGCACTTTCGCTGCTTCTGCTGCTGCTGCTTCTTCTGGTGCTGCTGCTACTGTGTGCATGCATTGCTGCTGGAGGGTCTGCTGACGGCTGAACGCTGGCCTAGTTGCTCAGTTTGTTGTGCAGGCGCGCATGTCCTACGTGGCACCGGCAGCAGCAGCAGCAGCAGCAGGAGCAGCAGCAGCAGCAGCAGCAGCAGCAGATGGGGGGTTGTCTACGCATTCCGTTGTGGTGGACTTCATGGGTCTCAGGGACAAAATGGATTTGTGCTGCCGCTCGCTTCAGACCCTCGCGTCTGCTGCACGTACACTCCAGTCTAGCAGCAGTCTCGTAAGGCCGCATATCTGAAGCAGCAGCTGCTGCAGCCCCTGTTGATGCTGCTGCTGATACTGCTGCTGCTGCAGATGCTGCTGCAGCAGCTGCTGCTTCTGCTGCGGTTTGTATCTACTGGTGCTTCCTTGCTTCTGCTGCTTCTGTTGCTCCTGCTGTTGCTGCAGGTGTGCCCGCTCGAGGCGCCGCTGCTGCTGCAGCTGCTGCAGTTACCTCCTGGCACTCCGCTGCGCGTAGCGCCGGCGCTGCAGCAGCAGCAGGACCTGGTGAAGCAGCAACTGCAGCAGCGGCAGCACGAGCAGCAGCAGCAGGAGGAGCAGCAGCAAGCGAGAAAGGGCTCAGCAGCAAACGGGGCCGATGCCGCCACAGCGTCTGGGTCTGCTGCCAAGCAGCTGCAGCAACAGAAGCAGCAGCATCAGCAGCTTGAAGGTGCCCAGCAGCGGCTCGCTCGCCAGAAGGCAGCAGCAGCAACAGCAGCAGCCGCAACACAAACAGGAGCTGCCGCAACAGCAACAGCAGCCGGAAGCGATTCAAGGTAAGGGCATGCGCGAACCCCTTGCGCATATATCTGTGGTGTAACTGCCGCTATGATTGATCCTGCTGTTGCTGCTGTTTGCTGCTGCGGCGCAGACCTGCAGCAGCTGCAGCAGAATCTGCTGCTCCCGAGGTGCCCAGCCTAGAGGAGCTGATGCAGCAGCAACGACACGAGGAGGCGGAGCAGCTGCAGCAGTTTCAGCAGCGGCTGCTGCAGCAAGACCCTGAATTGCTTGCCCTATACCAGACCCTTGTGGGTGCCCCTGATGGCAACAGCAGCAGCAGCAGCAGCAAAGGCCTCTCACCCGCCGAGTTTTGGAAGCTGCATCAGCAGCAGCTACTGGCACTGAAGCCGCAACCCACCCGTAAACCCTAAACCCTAACCCTATCTGATTCGCCTGCTGGTCTGTGGCTGTCGTTTGTGTTTGGGCATAAGCGTGCTGCTGCTGAAAGAGACGACGCTGCTTGCTGTGCATCTGCTGCTGCTGTTGCTGTTGCTGTTGCTGTTGCTGCTGCAGCTGAAGGCGTGAGCGCGTGCTTTCTGTCTCGGCCTCCTCAGTTTCAGCAGCTGCAGAGACAGCAGGGACCCGCTGGTTTGAGTGCCGAGTCGGAGTTGGTGGTGGATTGCAGCGAGCAGATGCTGCAGCAAATATTAAAAGAAAATCCGGCAATCAAACGGGCACACGAAGCTCTCGTTGAAACAGGCAAAGCCCACCTCCTGCTGCTGCGCGGCACCGGCATTGTCGTGCTGCTGTTGCCGCTGCATGCGGTGCTGCGACTGCGCGGGTTGCTGCTGCTCACCCTCACGCTGCTGCTGCTGCTGTTGCTGCCGATGCTGATGCTGCTGAGCGAGGTGCTGCTGCTAGGTTCGCTGTTGCTTGTCATGATGTTGCTGCTGGTGCACACGGTGCTGCTGCGTTTGCTGCTGGTTAGGCCGGATGCCTTCGGATCGCTTTTGGGGTCGGGTGTTCCGGTCTCGGTATTTCCAGTCAGGCATTGGGCTGCTTGAAAGGCAGCACGAACCAGACAACGCAGAGGGCTCTTTCTTCATCGCTTCTTTCCTCAAAGAAAAGGTGCTGCTGCTACCGCTGCTGTTCCTGCTGCCGTTCCTGCTGATGCTGTTGCTGGTCCTGGTTCTGATGTTGCTGTTGCTGCTGCTGCTGCTGCTGCTGTGTTATCGCTGTCTCTACGCTGCCGTTGATTTGTTGCGACTGCCACTGCGGTCGTTGCTGTGGGTGATATGCCTGCTGTAGCAGCAGCAGCATCACCTCGTGAGCAGCAGCCGAGGAGTGTGGCCGCTGCTGCTGCTGTGCCTTTGCCTGTTGTGGATCCAGAGGTGCTGGTGCAGCAGCAGCTGCTACTGTTGCTTGGCATGACTGTGTGGGTGCTGCCTGTTGGTTGTTTGTGTCTCCGTCTCTGTCTTCTGTCTCCTTCTGGGTTGGCAGCTTTTGCTGTAGCCCACGGTTCGGACCTCGTGCAGCTTCTGCATCTATTGTGCTGTTGTCTGGTGCCGCTGCTTGCTGCTGCTGTTGCTGTTACTGCTGCCAATGCAACTGTGGCTGCTTCTGCTTATGCTGCTTCTGTTGCTGCAGCCTTTGAGCTCGCGCGAGGCGTTGTGTTTGCCTGGGGTTGAGAGGAGTCTCCTCTCGGACGCTGATCTGCGGGTGCGGGGCTTCGGTTTGCCTGATGGGCTGTCTTCACTTGCTGGAGACCTGGCGGAGAAACCTTCGCCGGCTGCTGCTGCTGCTTCTGCTGCTGCTGCTGCGCCGGAGGCGGAGGCGGAAGCCGCTGCTGCGGCCAGCAGCGGCAGCAGCCTCGTCGGCCGCTTTAACAAACACTCGCAACGCTTGCTGCTACAGCAACTGCTGCAGCCTGCTGCTGCAGCAGCAGCTATCAATGATGAGGTGAGCCACGAAGAAAAGTTGCAGCTGCTACTGCAGCAGGAAGAGCAGCAAAGGAAACGACGGAGTGTGCGCCCAGATGCTGCCGCTGCCATCTTTCCAGCAGATGTGAAGGACGCAGCAACCAGTAAGCCCCAAACCCTTAACCCTAAATGAAATGCCTCAGCTGCCCGTACACTTGGTCTTTCTCTCTCTGCCACCTTCGTGCACTCGCCCCTGCTGCCTTTTTTACTTGCTGCTGCTGTTTTGCTGCTGCTGCTGCGGCGTTGTGTTGCTGCAGTTGGCTGCGGTGTTTTGGAAGAGGAGGCGCCGTTGCTGGAGTCTTTACGCCTCGAGGAGCTCGAAGTAATAATATCAGCCTTTAGGGTTGAGGCTTTAGGGTTTAGGGTTTCAGTCTGAGCGATTAGGGTGTAGGCCCTCAGGATTAGGGTGTGGGCGGAAGGCATTGGCAGGCGGCAGGCTGGGCCAGGGAATCACCTCCCAGCTATTGCTGCCGCTGCTGGTGCTGCCGCTATTGCTGCCTCTACTGTTGTTTTTGTTGATACTGATGTTGCTGGTGCTGCTGTTGCAGGAAGCTGCGCCTACCAAGTATCAGACGCTGGAGGTGAGCCGGCGACAGCTGTATGCTGCGGGTGCCCGATTGGGTTGCAAAGGCGGCTCCTCCGGATCGGGCGCAGCTTCAACAGCAGCAGCTGCTGCTGGTGCAGCAGCAGTAGCAACAGCAGCGGGGGCGAAGGAAGCCCCTGCACCAGCATCGGCAGCGCCTAAAGCAGCAGCAGCAGCAGCTGCTGCTGCTGCTGCGGAGGAAACAGAGCGTCTGCAGGAAGCGGGAGAAGCTGAGGCAGCTCAGGCTTGGCTGTGGCTGCAGCAGCAGCGAGCAGCAGAACGCAGCAAAGGGGCTCCACAGGCGGTAGGGAGGACTTTGCGCAGTCGCCCCTAAACTTTAAACCCTAAACCCCAGCCCTTGTTTGTAGGCCCTTGACTGTAAGATGTGCAGCGAGTGGGTGCTGCTGCTGCCTGTGGGGTATGGGGTGTTATGTACAGGCTGAAGACGTCGCAGCAGTATTCAGCACGGGGCGTTTTATGTTCGTCTTCAATACAAAACTCTGCCAGAAAGACAAAGCGGCGCAGTTCGCTACGCGTGAGCAGCAGCAGATGGGGTGCATGAAGCTGGTGCCGAGGTCCCTCGTTTGTTTCTTCTTTGCTTGCGAACAGACACAATCCATGCAGCTGCCGATGGACGTCTTCTAATTTGTTTTCCTTTGCTTCTGTCGCCTCTCTCTCGTCTGTCTTCTCGTCGGCTGCTCTTCTCCTCGCAGCCGCACCGGGGCAGCGTTTGTCAGCTCGTTAGATTAATGCATTATTTATTGGCTTAGTTTGCAATATATGCGTATATATACGTACGTGTGCATGCGTAGATGTATATGCATTTGTATACATCTATGGGCAAATGCAAATGCGCATATGTGCACCTATATAGAGATATATATGTGCGCAAATGTGCATAAATCTACATTCATATTATACATATACATATACATATATGTATATATATATATATATATATATATGTCTAGGTGTGCGTTGGTTTACAGTTTAAGTGATTTACAAAAATGCAGACAGACCCATACACATAAAATGTGTGCCGTTTGTATCGCTTACGGGTATCTCTAAATCCTACAAGCATATATATATATATATATATAGTGCTAGATGCGCAAATTTTGTACATATGGCAAACACATTTTATGCATATATATTGTACGTATTATATATATGTGAATATGTGAATATATATATATATATATAT